GCGCATTCGTACGAATCTGTTCCACTGAAAAAATTCCGGGGATTTAAAGTTTACCTCCAGATGTATTCTTTCTTCTGTATTTTTTATTCCTTCTTTTGTCTCTCATTTTTTGTTATTTCAGTTGGAGAAGTTTCACATCGGGAAAACTTTGCCGTTGCAATCGAAAAAGAGATATCGGCACAGGGGGTTTTTCAACGGGAAGTGTAAAATGGGAGGCAATTCGACAAAATGCGTATGAAAACTTTTCGTATGAATATGTTATAACGTCGTTGCTCGTGGTAACGTCGTTAGGCTGAGTCGTAGAATTTTAATATACACTTTTGATGTTTGTGTTTGGGGAACTCATATTGACGTCTGCGATCTTATGACGATTTTGTTGACCACCCTCCGGGAGTTGATATTGAACAAGTAGAAATTGTTTCATATAAACACACAAAATTTATGAACATGAATAATGAGATAATTCAGTGAATTATGGGTACACACACTTGAGAATCTGCATGACCAATAAATAACAATTGTGTAATACCTCGTGCTTCACATCCCCCTCGTTACTATGCAACAAAATATTCGGAAAATATCCGATAATTTTGAAGGTATTGGGATATTATAGCTGATTATTTTTTCTAACCGGATCTGGCCTTCCCTGGGGCAATCCGAGTTCAGTATTCAATAACATGAAGTATTTCCCAATTAAAATTACAGCGGGAATTTTCCTCATCCAAATGTCAGCCAATAGAATTGCACTATTCGACTGTTATTTCATATAGTCGACACGGTATTCAGCTAATAATTTTTGATAATTCAACTGGTAATTTTTCATGTTGACTGTATTTGTGGAAAACAAAAGATTCCGTGCTCGAGTGAACCCCTGGTTGGAATTGTCAGATGGATTTTGTCTCATAGTGCAATTCTTTTGCCGACATTTCGATGGGAAAATTCCCTCCCGAATAGAACTGGAGCTTTAACATTATTCGAGTAATTCCCTCGTGCTTCGCACTCGTAATTTTTAACCTGAAAAACTTGACTCCTTCGTTTGTTTGCAACGAACCTATCGGGAATTGCTCGATAATTTTGAAGCTCTCGTGGTATTACTTGTGGTTATTTCCCCCTAGCTTTTGATAATTTCCCTCTAGCTCTACAATTGTTTTTCTAACCAAATAACTGTCAAATATTATCCTGTGGAGTGAAAGAAAGTCATCAAGAAAGTCAAAATGAGTCGATTTGGGAAGGATCCGATTACCAAAAATAATCCGTGGAATACCACTCGACCTCCAAAATTAATCGAACATTTCCCTCATGTTTTCCTGCGTATCAACGATCGGGATAAGTTTTGCACAAAAATACCTCGCGCGGCGCGCTCATGATTTCAATCTGCAAAACTTCTCCCTCTCGTTGCTGCGCAACAAAACAATCGGGAAATATCCGATAATTTTGGAGGTCTCGTGGTATTACTACTGATAATTTGTTCCCTCGAACATGGAAGACGCACCATGTACATTCACTGTTAGAAAAATTTGGTTGAATTTTCCAGAAAAAGACCTTGAATTCGATTTAAAGGGGAAAAGTCAATGGAATTTTAAATTTCTCTGATAATTCAAAATTCAAGTCCCAGTTTTTAGCGCTAGGAAACCGGAAATTTCACAATTTACATGAATTTTCATATGAAAATTAATTTTTAGTTCCAAATTCCCCTAAATCTTCAAAGAATTCCTTCAAAATTCTTGGAATTCCAGGAATTTTTGAAGCAATTCGCTGACAATTCAGAGGAATCTGGAATTTCAGTAGAGATTTCTCTGAATTTTCCTGATTATTTATTAATTTTCCTGGAATAATTAATCTGAAATTTAAAGTTCCCACGGATTTTTTCATGAAACTGAATTTTCATCGAGCCATTTTTCGCAAAATGCCTTGAAATTTCAGTGGAAATTTTACTTGCTATAAATTTCCGGGACTCTTACTGGAAATGTCAGTAAACAATTTTTAACAGTGTGTAAACATTTTTTGTGAATGTAGGACTTGTTGGGAGATTTTTTATGATGTTTCACAAAATCGTAAATTTATAAATACATCGTAAAAAATCATCTCGTCATAATAATCGAACGCATCAAAACAATTCGAGGCAAAACGATTCAAGGCAATTACGAGTGTCGTTTAGTTTGCTTGGCTAGCTGCAGGGGTTTTCCCGCAGCGAGGACGCCTGCTGACTACATAGACTATCTATATTCACCATCGCGCATAGTTATACTGCACACACACGCACACACACGAGTTGAATAATTGTGGATAATTCGAGATAGCAAATTGTCCCTCGCCAGCAGTTAGAGATGAAACGTGAGATTACGAGGAATGCCATGATTAACTCATCATCTTTCCTCAATCGAGTAATTCCGTTGCCCATCTCTTTCCCTTCTCCAATGACAGAGAAGCAAAAAACGTTTATTGAGTATTGAAGATGAAAATACCACCATCACTTCCATTTTTATATATAGAAAAAAAATTCTGGAAATACGTGAAAGTTCCACTTTTTCTGATAGGATTTTTCTGTAAAAGCAGACAAAAAGTTCCAATTCCCAGTATTTTTTTTTGTAAAGAACATTTCACAGTTGAAATAAGTGGGTTTTCGATATTTAATTGTTTAGAGTTCTCTTCCGAAATTCAGTCACAATTGTTTATTCTAAAGACAATGCCCATTAGAACTATGAGATTCTCAAAATCATTAATTAAAAAATTTAGTAGCGAAGTGGTAGAACGGTTTAAGTTGACGTATCTCCCAGTTGAGTTTTTGAGGAATATTTCCGAATCTAAGAGAGATAGCGAAATTTTTGTAATTACATTTGTTGTAGCTCTTAATCGGCTCTATAAAAAAGGTTATAATAAAAATTTTGCTATCTCCCTTAGGTTCCGAGATATTCGTTGAAAACCGGTCAATAGTCAAAATTGACTTGTACCGTTTTACCATTTCGCTACTGAATTAATAATTTACGAGCCAGTTAATGTCATTAAACAAAAATTTGATATTGCGTTCTTAATAATATTTCCCACGAGATATATTTTTTTCGCATTTTTCAGAGTGGAACCCACGAAACTGCAACCCTTTTACTAATTGTTTATTTAACAAAAAATATTTACTTTTTTCGATAATTTTTTGTTACATAACTAACCATCCATTCTCAGTAATAAAGTCCCTCTGAAAGCCCTTCTGAAATTTTTGGATTCAATGCACAACTTTCAAGATATAAATATTGAAAAGCATGTCCATTTATTATTCACTAGCATTTTACACTTGTTATAACTTTAACAAAAAAAAGGTCTGTTAAGGGTATTATGGCGGGGTCCATAGCTGGAAAAAAAAGCAGAGAATTCAATGAAAATTGCTGAACAGATTATTCGATCCATTTGAAAGCCGTGTGCAAAATGTCAAGATCCCTACTTAAACAATAATAATGGGAATAATTTTTGAAATTGCTACTTATACACGCAGTTGAATGGGGTATCGGTAATTTTAGTGCTTTTCCTACGTTATTGATCTATCGAAATATACTATTGTGGTTGCCGATTCTATGCGAGATGAGTCGGCTTAGCCTAACCCCAAACTAACGGAAAGGTCACATCGACGTACTCAAGATAAGGAGTAATCAGAGCCAAAAGTGCTGAAATTAGTTTACCAGGTTAGAAAGCCTCGAAAGGGCGAAATTGGACGAGGTCGTTCAGATGTGAGATTAGCGAGGGAAATCCGGCCCTCGGTTAAGTGGCAAAACCCAAACCCTACAACTCATCCAAAAAGCTGGCAACTTTATACCACAATTCACCAAAACTTTTCAATATACCAGGAAACAATTTCACCCCTGCTACTCACTTCCGAAATCATGGCACCACTCGGTGATGAAATCAATCCGAAATCACGTGCCACCCAAAGAAAAATGTACTTCTCACCAGTACAGACCGGTGCACAGAGAGAAATATTCTGTAAAAATTACGGAACTATTCACGTAATCCGTAATGGGGAATCGTTTTCCGGCATTTTTTATAGGAATGGAAGAGAATAAATCTGAAACGTTCAGTGAATTTTCAGGTTGATCACCGAACAAAGTACGAAATTGTCACGTAATTTTTCCCGAAGAAGTAAAATTTTACAAAAACTTCCCGACTTATTATGCCCCCAAAATTAGGGCTGCCCACGAGACTAAACCGAGACTAAACTTTGGAGAGACCGTCTCGCTCTGAAAAAATATGAAACTTATTGAGACTGTCTTAGTCGCAAAAGGCATCGTATCGCCTCCTCCAGTGATGACCACGAAAAAAATTATCTCATCACAGTCTTCACTTTTTCGGGTTTTTTAGGTTCAAAGTCTCGATTTGAGAGTCTCGGTCTCGGTCTCAAACGAATAAGAATGAGAAAAAGTGAAGATTGTGACGAGATAATTTTTTGTGGTCATCACTGGAAGAGATGATACGATGCCTTTCGCGACGAAGGCAGTCCCAAAAAGTTTCATGTTTTTTTTCGGAGCGCCACGGTCCCTCCAACGTGAGGTCTCGGTTTAGTCTCGTGGGCAGCCCTACCCAAAATAAAAAATTCTTGAACGTTCAACTATTTTTATGAAGTTGGTGAGTTATTTTTACGTTCCGTTCCCTAAAATTTCTCAATCGTTGGGGAAAAATTACGGAATAACTTGTTGTCCCCACAGCGGTGAATCATCAGACGGGTGATTAATTTTTACGGAATAAATCGTAGAATTTACGTGGCGATTCGAACAATTTCAGTTCCGACTCACACTTTTTATCGAATTTTACTTCACTCGCGAATTACGTTCCAAAACGTAATTTTTACGTTTTTTCTGGTAATTTTTATTGAATTTTTCTCTCCGTGCAGAGAAAAAAAATTAAGAAAAAAAGTACAAAAATTGAAGAAGAAAAACATTTAATTTAATAATTTAAAATTTACAAATTTAAGAAAAAAGATTTATTTATAATGAAGCCTATATTTATGAGATATAAATCTAAATCCTATGTCGGAGATGAAAATGTCCTGCTTTTGCTCTTCTTTTCCGAGTTTTTCGTCGTCTTGGTTTATGCAACTCCTTCGTAAATGGATCATAATTCATTTCGCTGATAAAAATAATGAAAGCGATCAAAAATGCAAAAGCTAACATGAACAGAATTGGCGCGATTTCGTGTATCTCCACTGGTGCAAGAGCAGATTTATTTCCTCGTGGAACCGTAGAATACTTGCGCTTCAATCGTCGCAGTATTCCATTATCTTTAAACTGTTGAATACTTGAAAAATAAAAATTATCTTGATCATTTATTTACCTATTATCATATCAAAATCACACACTGTTAGAAAAAATGGAATTTTATTGAAACTGGAAACTTTCATTGAAGTTCTCAACCAAAGGAAATTGTTCGACGTAGATTTGAAATTTTCAAACATGAAGAATCGCTCTGCTTATACGGTGCCTTTTCAGGATGCAAATGTCTCTCTTATAAAGGAAAAAAATAGGCAAAACATTTGCGGCTAGCAAACCATTCCGCCAAGCTTATTCTTGACTTGAAATTATTTCAAGTTTATCTTAGCTCGAAAAACTGTTGTCTCAAGATTTTTTTTGATTCATAGTACAAAATATTTATTTCAAAAGCAATGTTGATAAATAATATCTAAATAAATAGTAATAAATGATATTTCTTGCTTTCTTAAGAAAAATTCTGGGCAGGAAATTTTTATTCGCGAATTTATCAAAAAACAATTTTTTTTTCTCAAATCTAAACAATGAGCGTGAATATCAACTCCTTTTTTAAAGGATAAATAAATACATAACGATCATGAATAATATGAATTAACCACTAGTCAACAAATTCCCTTTCCTTGTACCTGTCAAGAAATATTTTATTTAAGAATTCATTTCTTAGGTGATAATGCACAGAGAATAAGAATTTTTTTGGAAAAAATTTTGCACCTCAGCACAGGCCTTAAATGGTCAACACTAATATACACCGTAAAACAACGGTGCGATTTCCCCACCCCAATGGTATCAAAAAGGGTCAGAAAAAATATTTTTCACCAGTTCCAGACCGTTTTTAATACTATTTAATAAATCTTCGCACAGTTTTTTGACTATGTAGATTTTTTTATTTTTTACTTGCAATTTTTTTGTTCAAACAAGAATTGTAGGAAAAAATATTATCAATAAAATTAAAAATTGTTTAGTAACGGTAAGACGAGAATTTCTCAATTTCCTTGGATTTTCAATGAGAACATCAATATTCAGTATTCCACTAATGCAAAAATTCAAGAATACATTTAACGGAATTGTCCTAATTTCAATTAAATTTCATGGAATAATTGAACTGAAATTAACGGATTACATTTATTTATTTTTATTCTTTATTTTTAACGTGATTTGCCGCAAGGGGTCTGCGACCGGCCATCGCTCGAAAGCCTTCATCCTGATTACATTTATTTTTCCATAAAATTATGAATTTTCACTGACGAAATTTCTTGAAAATTCAGTTATACAGTGCATACTCTCCTGAATCATTTCGCTTCTCTAAGATTTCAGTTGCGGAAGTTGAGTTCCCCCACCATTAACAATCTAAGCGAGTGTAAGTAGTGTAGGGACTCCCCTGCGCAACAGGAATGCGAACTGAAACGGACAGATTCTCGCTGTTTCTCTCTTTCGTCAGTCAAATCATCGACGTATGAGCAGGGGCTTCTCGTCACTTAAATTTACGGAATTCGAATCCCCAAAGCTGAAATCTTAGGGAGTATCCACTGTAATGTGAAATTTGAGCCGAAAATTTTTAACAATGCAGTTGCCATTTCAAAACTGAACTTACTGGTGATTAATGAGGTCCATATATGAACTGCCCAGTGGCATGAGCATGGCTACGTGATATACCGGTCCAAATTTAAAGGACGTAATTTCACAAGGTATTTCATTGTTAACAGCTGTCTTCGCTGTCTCGAAGGCGAGAAATGCCACTCTCTCCCTGCATATCTACAAATTTTGAACGGAATGATCATTAACTCCCAAGGGCGCATTTTACAATAAAAATACTCTGTATGATAACCGGTTTTATCAGCGAAATTTTAGATTTTCATCACCATTCTTTAGGAAACTTGCAAATAATTTTTTTTTATTGTTATTTTACATCGCTTCAACTCGGTTGAGTATATTGTGCTGATGATCAAGACTTTAAAATGGTTAGATCTCACCATATTTCACCCGACCGTGATTATTTTTCCCGACTCGGAACTTTGCGCACGTGAGGCAACAACCTTACCCACTGGACCAGGCCGTCTAGCTACACTTGAAAATAATGTAACAATAAAATATTTGGGAGTGCTAAATATGCGGAAATATCCAGTGCCCGAAGAAAATCGCCATTTTTGCGATACCTGCGTCAAAAGTGCACTTTTTGAAACGGTTTAGTGTGCGTAAAGCGATTGTTTTCCGCACGGCGTGCGTAAAGAAAATTTCGAGTACGTAAAGAGAAGCGTAAAGTGAAATGTCGTGTACTCGAATTCTTACGCACTCGATATTCACTTTACCCACACTCTTAAACTTTCCGCACGCTGTGCGGAGAACAACGACTTTACGCACACTAAACCGTTCCGAACAGTGAACTTGGCAGGAACCACAGAAAATAAGATGTCTTACACGTGCGTGTGAAAAAGTGGAACTTTACGCACTAGTAACACAATATACTATTTCGTCACAAGGCCGAAAAAAACTTTTCTAAAGAGTGTGAAGGTTGCAGGCCGAGACCAAGCCGAGGAATGTAATCAGACCAGTTCTAAAAGTTGTTTTCGTCCTTTCCAAGACAATTTACAATGTCCGTAAACTGCGCTTGACGGACATGAAGTGATGAAAATAAGATGTCATCTCACAAAATAATTGCTCCGACCATTTCTTTGTCCATAAATTCACTATTTAGAGGCATTATTATGAGTGTTTTAAAGCAGAAAGCTATTTGTTAAGAATTTTTATAATACTTGTTCGAACGCTTCCTGAGGATTTCTAGGATTCAAATCTCTCAGCTGCAAGAGGGATTCAAACTTCTTCATGAGTTTCTCATCCGAAAGCTGCGGAATGATAATAAGAAAAATCTGTCAATTCAAAACAGGATCGATATCGCTATGAGATTGAGAATTTGAGTAAAACAGTATAAATAATAACATATTAAATAACATATAAATTGTGGGTACTAACTATCAAGCTAAGGCTTCGATACTGACTCTTGAAAAAAAGAACCTGTGACCTGAAAACGGGGGGCGGTTCATAATCGATGAAAAAAATACTGGTATGAATCACCTCGTAATCCATCACCGTGGAATGGGACGGAGTGTTCCTCAGCCGTATGATCTTATAACTACCATCCTCTACGAATTCTTCTGGTGTACGGAATGGCGAGTATGAAAATACAGCAAGTTGACTGATTATTGACGCAGAATATGCACTCAAGGTGACTAACGCCGACAACGCCAGTGATATATAAACAATTCTCAAAGGTGTTTTATCAGGAAATGCTGTTCAGAATGTACCTCATGTCAAATTTAACAAAACAAAACACAAAGTTACATCTTTCGTTACCAGGTAAGGCTTGTTGACAGTAAATATCCCAAACAATCAAATGATTTTCAAACAGAAGTGGAACAAAATGGGATCTTCTTCTGTATGTGATGAGAGTTAACAGAAGAGTGGATGTCAGAATTAAACTGAGGATTGCCATCCAGACATGCCCTGTAAACACCTGACAATAAGTAATCATAAGTTAGAATGACATTCACATTGTAAAAGCTAATGTCTTCAAGACGTCTTAGTTTAACCCTCGATCACTCGCGGTCTGCACGGTTAGCGCAGCGCCGCTGGGGTAAACCGAGCGCGCTGTTGCCACCTTGGCACTCACTGCTATACGCGCATTCCAAGTGTGACGGTGAATGTAGCAACACTGGCGCTCGGGGGGTCGGCAGGGACTCACTCGCACCTGGCGACGCGGCGCCGCTTTTCTGTCCGTTCGACGTTTCTTTTCTTTTTTTAGCCAAAAAAATTTCTCCAGACAAAATGGACAACGCTAACGCTTAATAAAAGGATTGAGCTAAGAACTAAAATATACAAAAACGAAAACGGGCGGCGCCGCGCCCATTGAGCGAGTGATCGAGGGTTAAGAGATGTTTGTCATTCCGGCTATAAGGCAGGGATTCACGGACGCGCAGCATCCATGAAGCGCTAATGCCGTACAGTCGGACGGACAAAATAGTATATTTTTTGAGGCTGTATGACGAACAATATTTTTTGTCATAACGGCTGTAGGTTGTAATTTCCGGACTCGTACCGGAATGACAAAAAAAACTTTTGTAGCTCATACAATTGCAAAACTCATATTCGCCAGAATTTTCTTTCGGCTTAGTGAAGAAAAATACTATAGGCACAAGAATGTATCCTGTAAGGATAGAATTACTTTAACGTAACCAAAACTATCAGTGGAAAAATAATTGACTGTTTTCGTCCAACATACCCCACCGTTGGGAAAGAAATGAATAAAGTATTTGAAAAAAAAAAAATAAGACACCATAAGTTTGAACTAAAAAATTCTCGAGTTTGAACCAAAGTTTGAACCAAAACACACTCGTTTTTCTAGTACACACAAAAGCAATTTTTCTAATTCATCAGAACCTTGAGATAAACATTCCATGGTACATTAACAGCATCAGGTTTTCTGAAGTGAAATTCAAAATATCCGCTTAAGACGGGAGATGTATACGATAACACATGCAATAGCTCCTTTCGGATAAAATACTGAGCAACACCAAGATCAGCCTCTCGTCGATGGATTCTTCCGATGTAGCCGGTATAGTTACCGGTCTTCAGATTTAAGGCACCGTAACCTTCTTCGTAAATTATTGACACCGTAAAGTTCATTGCTTCACGCAATTCTTTTAGAATTTCACCTAAGAATCCATAATAAGTCCCGTTTTTCTCTTGGAATGAAAAGGAGTCCTAGAATTAAATAATAATATTTCATTATCTGATCACAGCAAATAAAGTTTGTGAGACTACGTATGCGCTAATTATGAGAGCAACAAGTACGCAATTGTCTTTTCTATCACTTAGTGTACAGGAATATTTTAGCTAATCAATTAGCAATTTTCTTCTGAATGTTCTGGCTTAGATCAAAATCCGTAAGAACATGATCTTTATGTCTAAATCTCATTTCGGACCCTTAGTTTTGACCCTTATTTCTAATCCTCGTCAGCTTCAATTTAACGATTTTACTTCCTTACAACTACACTGAGAAAAAAAAATATTTTTGCCAAATATATTTACTAAATACACTGTTACAAATTTCTTGCAATTTCAGTTCCAGCGTCATCAGAATTATCGATGTTGTGGGGTTGAATTCAATTTTAAATGAAAGCGTTCACTAAATTTCTCATTCATCTTGGAATATCAAAAAAATTGGGTTTTTCATGGTAAATAATCATTGATTTTCCAATGAACGCTTGAATTTGCAAACTCATCGTGAAAATTGAACATCACATACAATTCAGTTTTCAATAGATTCAGAATTCAAAAAAGTTGTTGCCTGTATTTTCGAAATTTTCAAGGTTTTTCAGTGCCGTATGGATGTGAAAATCGAGAATTGCTTGAATATTCAAGAAATTAACTGATTCGTCAATGAACAAATATACAGAAATTTCATGTACAAGACCGAACGCGCGCTACAGCGCGCTGTAATTGTAACAATCATAATTGAAAATTTCAAAATTAAATTACTCATGAATTAAATTTGCCGCCTCAGACGACTGGAACCAATGAGGAATAAGCGTGACAGACTTGCGAGATATCGATAGTTATAGACTTTAAGGGGTCTCCGCAGTACTATTGGGTAAAATGTGACAATGTGCTTGCGAATTAAATATATCATATAGTAATCAAAAATGTTAAAAAGGTATTTGTAAAGGGAATTCTAACTACTTTTATGGTTTCGTTCGTGTTTAATTAATTATTCAAATTGCGCCTTATACACAACCTTTATGGATGCTACTTTTTCCCATACCCCTCACACTGTTGACAATGTGCTATAGCCAGCAAAGGAAGCTAAATTGTTCTATATTAAGCCCTAAACAATATGGGCATGAAATCCCATTGAGTTTTAAAAAATACTATGGCGATGTCTGTCATTATCCAACATACGCCAGGTTTGATGTCCCGTCTCTCTCGAAATTAACCTCACTAACTTGACTATTTCACACTCCACTCATCCGGGCACCCATCGCAACTGCGGAGACCCCTTAAGGATATCCAAGTAGTTCAGGCAATTTTTTCTGGAGGAAATTCCCTTCAGAGTTTATAGACTAGACCAAGAGTATTTTTTAGGCGCAGTATAAACTTCAGTTTCTGAACATATTTTCGAGAAAACGATTTTTGAAAGAATGAAATTTAACACATTGCGTCCATAAGAGCTCTATACTGCCACCTTCAATCCAATAGTTCATAGTCTTAAAGCGTTTTCTCGTACACATAACCGTATGTGACTTTGTTCGTTATACTCTTTAGTTTTTTTTTGCGACATTAAAAAACATAAGTTTCCGGACAGATAATTGCAAACAATCAAATTAAAAGCTTCTTAATTGGTACGACGGCCATATTGGGTGGTTTGAATCCGTGCGTTCCTGACGTCTGGCAACAGTCCGCTCAAGTGACTACTCGGACCGAATTTACGAGGTTATAAGGAACACATGTGCAGTGTTGCCGTATGATCATTAGAGGTTAGACCAACGAGAGTCAAGTGTGAAATTGAATAAAATATTGTTCACAATATTCATTGAAGAAATTCCTGAAAAAATGTATTCGACAATGAAAAATCCGAAAAAGTATGGGGACGGCAAGATTTTCGACAAAACTGAAATCTTGCTTGGAAAAAAGTTGCCGATTTGAACGAAGTACTTAGATATCCTTAAGTGTATGTTCTTTTTAGAATAGGAAACTTTGTCGTTGTTAAAAATTTTAAGCTTTTTCACTTGAAATTTCAAGAGTAATTTTCTCGCAGTGTACAAGAAAATATACACATGTCTTATGCAGATTTTATATAGATTTACTTGTAGAAAGTAAATATACTTGGCAAACGCAATTGTTTTTCTTAGTATGTAATTCGAGAAATGGCAATGTAATCACTTGCTGTATGGCATAATGGAAGCTCTTTAGACAATTATTTTTTGAAAGATCGTGGTAAACAAAAATGACAGAATTTTAAAAACTACCCTGTGGATAGAAATGACATTAGTATTGTGAGGTTTGAAATTTAAGGTTTTTTTGTTTGGCGCACTAAAATCCTCGAGTCACTAAGTTGACTCTCAGCCTGACTAGAGATGTGAAAATGATCGTCTTTTGACCGTCATCGGACGTCACATTTTTTTTGTCGTAATTTGAGCAGTATGTTATTTCTGATATTTAGAAGGAATGTGACGGTCACATAAGATTTATGTCAGCGAAAATGTGACACAATAACTTGCCTTCGGCTCGTTTTACAATCACATATTCGCCAAAAAAAATTCTTCGCCACAGTAACGAAAAATACTATTTCATTACACAGTCTATTCAACACATAGTGTATTCAACACACAATTTATTCAACTCATAGTTTATTCAACACATACATATCGGGCAATGACACACATTTCACATTCTATGTAAATTTGAAAACATATGAGTCATTAACCTGTCTGTATTTGAATCGCAATAAATATCAGAATAAATTCGAATGCCTGCGGAAAGGATTTATTGATTTTTATTTTCGACGACAGGTAGAAATGGTAAGTCATTCAGTTATTGTGATGCTCACAGTGTTAAACTGTAATTGATTGAGGAAATGGTACTCGATTGTGTTTTTGAAGAAGTTTTTATTTTTTTATTAACAGACTTTTTAAGAAATTTTATATGCGAAAAAATTTTCAATGAAGGAGCGAGTGAAATTATTTGCTATGCTTTGAGTGCATGTATTGTTGATTTCATGATATACTAGCGAACGGGCGCTTCGCGCCCCTCACTAGATTAATTTATACCATTTTATTTTCACTCCATTTCCGGTTTCACAATCAGATGAATTTCATTTTATCCTTTTTCTTATCCTTATTATATTTTTTCCCCTTAATTCACAAGTTGCAACATTGAATGAAGAGCAATTATGTTAAAGATCAACAAAACGTGTTTTTTTGGTGATCAAATAAGAGTCATTCGAAATCTCATTCAATGCAATAAAATGTAGACGATAAAAAATTTTAAAAAAATTTTTAATGTCTCCGGAAAGTTTTAAAATCGATATATTTTTTCGGATAATGGAAGACAACCCATAAATTCGATTTCTATCCTTGTCTTTTGATAGAACGAATGTAATAAATGACAGAAATTGAGAATTGGAGACTAAAAATTGTATCGGATTATTATTATAATAATAATATAATAATTGAATTAGCTGTGAAAATTGTTTTGGCTCAAATCGTCATGGAACCGGCGTCTCTCATGTGACGGTCATACGGATCATAAAATTTTGCACATCCCTAGTATGTCACGACAAACAATCAACATTTTGCACTGAGAAAAAAATTTATTTTCGCCAAATATCCATTTACTTGAGAGAATTATTTATTTTTTCAATACCGTATTTCTCCGTTCGAGGCATTCTCAGGCGATCCTTATTACGTTTAAATTATGTCAATTATATTGCTTTAGAAGATGATCATGTTAATTATGACGTTGAGTGAACTCCTTCAATAATTATCAACATTAAAAAATTGATCGAAATTTTTCCCTCTAGAAAATAAGAAATTTAGGAAAAATGAATAATAATTAGAGGAGTTCGTCCAAGGTCATGTTCAACATAGTCATCCTCTAGAGCAACATGATTGTTGTAATTGAAACCTAGTCAAGCTCCCCTGGAAATGACTCGATTGAGGAAATACGATTTTGAAAAAATAAATGCTTCTCTCAAGTAAATGCATATTTGGCAAATATAATTTTTTTCTCAGTGTAGTGAACGGAAAACAAGATCTCATAAATATTCACCTGAACCGTAACAATGCGCAACTCTTGGCCGTTCAGCGAATATCTGCGGCGATTCACCAATTCCTCAGAAAGCCACAAAATTCCCTGATTGTCATCCATCAATCGGCCAAGTTCCTGCCTTTCAATACGATTTTCGCCGATAGACCACCATTCTTCAATCATGTCCGAGTCACAGCATGAAACAAGCACTTTAGAGCCGAATCCCAAATTCGACAAGCTATCATGTGGATTGCGACAAAAATCGCAAACATCTTGTGAAGCATCTCTTGAGAAAAGGATCAGCCAAACAGCATAGCTGAGGTGAAAATCCTTACTCATTGATTCAAAGGAATGTAATTCTTCAACTGTGTCAATCGCGATTACGATGAGCAAGCTCATACGGCCGCCGCTGTAACTCTTCAGCTTGTCTCCGAATTGCCTCAAGTTAACAATAACCGTGAATATTCCATCATTTGATAACATCCTGACTGCTTCATGCCAAATTGTGGTCCGGCCAAACGCTGGAATTTATTCTCAAATGAATGCTCATTTGAATGAAAAAAGAATCTTGTCTGAATTCCCATATTGTCACCAATTCCCACGGACGAAAAAATTTAATAGAAAAACCTATCGAATTTGTTAGAAAATTCTATTGAATTTCTATTGAACTATTCTATTACACTCATAGAATGATTCATTTATTCCAAACGAGATTCGTTAACTATTAACGAATGAACATTTGGTGGGACCGAATAGACCTTAACGTCTAACCAAAATCCATTCGTTAACAATAACTAATCCGTTCTATCAGTGTAGTTTTTGGCCGATCCTATTGAAATGTTCAATAGAAAATATTCAGTAGAAAAAGTCAATAGAATTCAATTTTTCTACATAACTTATTCTAATGAGATATTTTTTATAGAATTTCCTCGGCTCAAATTTTCTAAGTTTTTTGGTTTGATTTTCTTGATGAGAAGAAAAGAAAAATAGAATGAAAAAAACTTAGAAAATTTGAGTCGAGCAAATTCTATAGAAAATATATGAAAAGAATAGATTATATAGAAAAATCGAATTCTGTCAACTTTTTCTATTGAATTTTTTCTATTGAACATGTCAATAGAATCAGCTAAAAACTCATAGAAAGTTTAATAGAAATGCAATAGAATTATCTAACGAATTCGATATGTTTTTCTATTAAATTGTTTCGTGCGTGCCCGTCTACTTACACATGTGGCCTGTTCCTGATACTATAATTCCTCCATTAGTTTTGTATTTACTGTGAACAGCCTTCAACAAAGGCCCGTGGTAATGAGCTCCATTCAACTTGAAAAAAGCCAAGATGAACGTAATGAAAAATATCAATGGAATGGAGAATTTCATTATTCTGTTGGAGGATGACGAGATCAATCCTTTTCGGATCTGTCAACCTTAGCTCGCCTGTGGCTAAGTAGTAAGTATTCAGTTTACTATTTCATTGAATTTATACTGTACGCTAATAGAAATAGTCCACACGCAATACCCCCTTCCCGTGTGCACTTCTAGTGCGGTAAGGTTTTGAGGTGTTTTCTTATGTTTTCGGGTATGAGAAATCCGAATCCGGTGGTATTTTTCATGTAAGTGCGTGTAATTAATAGTTATAAACAAATTAAGTGGTTTTTTTAATGATTTTTTTTTATGGGAAACATTGGCAAATAGAAGAAAATGTTCATGACAAAAGTTGTTCCTTTTTGTGTAATAAATAATGATCAATTTTTTAAATCAAAATCCATCAATCCGTTGCCGAAATGTGGTCCACCAGGTGAACGCGGGAGGATACGCGGCGCGCGCAGTCCGCTCGAACCTCTTCCGTGTCGCGTACGCACCCATTTTCACATCATTTTGATGCTTTCGTCATGGATGCAACAATTGAAGGAGTAATTCAAAGAAGATAATCCTACATAGAAGTCAAAATTCAATGAAATGAGGGTGAAGCGAGCGAATGATCGATCTGTACAACTCCACACCGTTACTTGAAAACGAAAAAAATACTCATCCGCATCCACATATCAATTTCCGACGATCGAGTTTCAATGATCAATCGGAAGCGGGGGTAAATGAATGAATTAACACTGTTGTTCAATCTTGTCTGACATCTTTGCTACAAACTCGGGTCTTCAACTCGGGCTTTCAATTGAAGGCCCGAGTTGTAGACCCGAGTTTGTAGCAGCGATGTCAGACAAGATATGAATGTTTTTTTGGGCTCAAATGAAAGAGCGGGTCGAGAAATGACGTGCTAGAGCCTCTAAACATGACAAATGTCTCTAAAGATGATATCTGTTTTCAATTGAAAAGCAGAGTTGTGACATCATTGTCTAGGAGGACAATGGGGTCTAGGAGTATGTATAGAACATTGGGGTCTAGGAGTCTCCCCTGGTTCAAAACCATCTTTAGAGGTCCTAGCACGCCATTTCTCGACCCGCTCTTTCGTTTGAGCCCAAAAAAACATTCATATCTTGTCTGACATCTTTGCTACAAGTCGGGTCTTCAACTCGGGCTTTCAGTTGAAGGCCCGAGTTGTAGACCCGAGTTTGTAGCACCGATGTCAGACAAGATATGAATGTTTTTTTGGGCTCAAACGAAAGAGCGGGTCGAGAAATGACGTGCTAGAGCCTCTAAACATGACAAACGAACGCCCACCTGACATTTTTAATACACTCACACCATGAATTTAAAGTGAATACTGCACAAAGAATGAATGTCATCCAGAATTTATTTCTCGTCAATAACTTATGATTATAAATTTTCTGTGACCGACTGATAGAACTCAATAGTTAATTAGTTAATTCAATACTCCGGCCCGAAGAGACTCTGAAAAAAATCACGCATTTAAATGTGACGAACATTCTCTTCCGAGGATCGGAGGAAGACTGATTTATCGGAGTATTTTCTAAACGTCAGTTGACTAAAACAAGAAGAAACAAGAATATTTTTGCAGCTGTCCCCTCCGAATTTTCTTGGAATTGAAAATTCGCAGAAATAATCCAAATAAATATCTCTCATACTTGGAGTATTAGTGTTTTGTGTGTTTTTGTTTTTCTTTCTACGTACCAATACATGAGTAGAGGTCGTTTTATCTGAGAAAAATGACTGATTGATGAGCATTCAGAGGACGTCGAGCGTCCTACCCATCTTCGCGCGTCGCGCATCCTCCCGCGCCCAGCTAGTGGACCATATTTCAGCAACGGATTGATGGATTTTGATTTAAAAAAATGATAATTATTTATTACACCAAAAGGAACAACTTTTGTCATGAACATTTTCTTCTATTTGCCAATGTTTCCCATAAAAAAAAAAATCATCAAAAAACCACTTAATTTGTTTATAACTATTAATTGCACGCACTTACATGAAAAATACCACCGGATTCGGATTTCTCATACCCGAAAACATAAGAAAACACCTCAAAACCTTACCGCACTAGAAGTGCACACAGGAAGGGGGTATTGCGTGTGGACTAAAACAAGGAGGGGACAGCGAGCATATGACAGCAGGCCATGTGACAGTAAGCATGTCACTGAGTGACGTCTCAATTTTGTCACCATCAATACATTGATCACGGGCTTCCGAATGTCTCAAATATTACAAAAGTTTATAGCTTCATATCACTAATTAGCAGCAAAAATTTCAGATGGTTACTGCCACCTCCATGGGTAATATCAAAATCCCAATGTTTCGAATACTTCGTATGAGCGGGTATACATATTTTCTGTCCAAATTTCAAGTTGATATCTCCCTTTTGCACAAGCTAGAGTGTTGACAAAGTTTTTTATGAAAAAACAAAAAAACGCGAATATCTCGAAAACTTTGTATGAACGGGTATATATATTTTGATTGATTTAGATAGAAAGCATCGAAATGAATATTTTGAAAACAAAAAAATCGAAATCGATCCACTAGTTCTGGAAATATTTGCGGAAAACAATTTAAAAACGAATCTCTTTTTCTTCAAAACTATCGGATCGATCGAACTGAAATTTTGGACAGAGTGAGTCCTCATTAAGACCTATAATCTGACAAAATTTCAAATTTCTTAGAATTACTTTAGCCATTTAATTACTGAATTGTATAAAAATTGACCACCGGGAAGGTGGCGGTGAACGTGGTGACATGGTTGTCAAACTTTGTATTTTTACGTTTCAGATCATTCTCCATCATTTCCAATCAAAATTAGAGAATCTGAAAATCGAAGGATTGCAACGCTTCCATTCAAAAGCAAAAAATCTAAATTTCCTGCACAGTTGACCAGTAATTCTCAGAAGAGTGACATTGAATCCGATCTAAAGGAAAAACTAATAAAATTTCTGATTTCACTAAGAATTTATTGAAGTTCCTGATTATTGAGCAACAGAAAGACGAGAATTTTCAATTAATAAAAAACTAGAGTATACATTACCTTCAATTTTTCAGAATTCTATCAATCTTTGTGAAATAACTGAACTGAAAATTAAAATTCCCATTGATTTTTCAATAAAATTCGTGATTTTGAATAACGAAAATCCAGTAAATTTATAATGGGAAAAAATATCCAAGAAATGTATAAGAAATTTCAACCAAATATCTTTAGCATTGGACTGGCGTTGAATTCATGTCACACACTGATGCGGCATATCACTCCCCACAGCCTTTCTGTTCTAGCTTGGCATACGTTTCACATAGTGTGTTTCATATATTGTGCATTCATCTGAAAAATAGATGTCCCGATGCTGCCAACAACCCACACGTGTCATAATTTTTTTCCATTTCCCAGGAATCACATAAATATTTTTCGTTTACATTGTCCACCGCTTTCTCGCCATCAAGTTTACACACATAATTAAGAACACTTCACACCTTGTATTAAGTGTATAAACAAAATTAGTTTCTCGTAACCGCATCATTACACTACTTTTCGTCACGAGGGAATTCTTTTCGATCGAGGTTACTTCACCACCAATAAGAGTGAACTTCAAACAATGTTTCGCGGAAAATGAATACGATATTTAAAATGTTGTCGGACTATGTGACCTTCCTATGACGCTCGTATGCCCCTATAACAGCAAGTAATTTCAACCGAAATTTTCAATATTGCACCGCGGAAACATCGTTAAAAAATCCAAATCATTTCCTACCGAATCCTTAAAATATTTCGACTCCAGAATTTCAGATTTTTCAAATTTCCAGTTGGTTCATAATCGAATGGAGTGCGAAATATATGTTCGTTATACATTCTCACATCCATTGCGACCTTTTCGACAGCAGAAAAATATCTTCATCAGTTATTATTGGCTACTTTATCAGTCTCCACGTTCTTGGGTAATTCCGCCCAGAGTTTGTGGGTAATGCCGCTCAGGATTTCTATAGAACTGCTAGACTCCGCAGCTAGAGAGCGGTCGAGTGACAGCTCGATTGTTTGGGGTAGTCGGTGGCCACTGGAACATCGGGTAAATTCAGGATAATTTATTATTATTCACGTGAAATCTTTCTCAAAATGGAGCCAAAGAATGGAAACGAAGGATGAAAATAGGAAAAATTATAACAGTTGGTCTGCATTGCTCAAAAAAAGCATGAAAACAAGATGGGCGGTATTGGACGCATGCCGGGCGGTATTACCCTTAAAGTTCGATTTCATCGCCCACTGGCCGATGGCAATTGAATTACATAATTAAATATGTTTAATGTTAATAAAAAATCTGTCACCTTCACATCTTCGAGTAAACACCTCGAAGAACCCATTCTAACCGTTTATGACTCCATGTAGAGTCCGAGGCTGGAAAAAGACTCAGTTCCCCTAATAGGGTTAATACTTATCAATAAACAAAATCAACGTAATCACAAAAATCATCGAAGTTATCTTGTTAGTGTAAGCAGATTGCAACTATCACACAATTACACAAGATCACATGCTCTCTCAGGATAGAATCAGGATAGAATACCAGTATATTACAAACTATAATACAACGAATTTTTCATTTCCATAGCTTCTTGAAAAAAACCATTGCACTGAGAGAAATTTCAATGGTAATTTCAACTACAAGGGAATTGTCAAAAAAAACTATAGTTACGGTAACAATAAACAGTGTAGATTCATGTATTACATTAAAGTGAAAATTACATCATAATGTTGATAACACTATTCGACATAGTAAATCGAACGATGAATCCGAGTTTAATCTACAAAGTTTATTGTTACTGTGAATATAATTTCTTTGACAATTCCCTTGTAGTTAAAATTACCATTGAAATTTTTCTCAGTGTGGGGCAAATGGGTAATGGCTTCTCTACATCACGAATGAGATTACATATCCATGGAGTCGTATTCCCAAACTTGAAAAATATTTCATGTTCACAAGTACTTTCCTGCTGAAATTAATAATTGACCGTTCAAAATGCTTTCATCTGAAAGAAAAATACTTTGTAATAACCACAATTTCGGATAATACCCACAGAACTGGGGAATTTTGCCAGGATAGGAGTCTGCACTGTGCACACAGCATAATATAAAGTACACCGGATTCATTTATCCTCGGTGAAAAAGCCCTCGTTAAAATTCACCGTGCAGAGTTCAGGTCCTCCCCCCTCCCCTCTCCCTCCCTATCATCCTATCTCTTCTCTCCCAGTGATGCTTTAAACGTGGAATTGGCGGTGTGCAGGCCTTTGGCTCTTGTTCTCATCCATGGGAATAACAAATTACTCAACTACAGCTAATGCTCATTCACATTCCTAACGAGGGAATATCCTTTTGTCTCAATTTACCAGCGCCCGCAAATGACAATCATTGTGATTCAAATTGCAATCATCTCCACATGTTTTCGTGTTCTTTGTGATTATGGTAATATCTGAGGAGAGACAGAATGAGAAAGTGCTGGTCTATTTTTGGAAGGGAATTGATGAGACCATTTGCCACGGATGAATTGCTTGAATTAAACTTGAATAAACGCTCGTCTTGCATAAATTAGTGTTGTCGGTATATCTGATAGTTTCCGTATACACGGAGAGAAATTTTCAGTAAAAATGACGGAACTCACAATTCACTCACCGATTACGGAAGCGACTCAGAAAATTTAAGTGACAGTATATGAATTTTTCACAGAGAATTCCTTAGAATTTTAATAGAACCCCAATAAAATTTCTGTTACGGAGAAAATTATTTGGTGAAATTCATCAACTAGTTGTCGAATTTTAACAACTAATTAATTAAAATTCAGAAAAGATTTTTCAATTTCATTCAACCAATTTTGACTACCAAACTAGAGGGTGAGGACATATCTACATTTGGAAACAATCCACGCACGAAAAAATTTGATAGAAAAACCTATCGAATTAGTTAGAAAATTCTATTGAATTTCTATCAAACTTTCTATTAGTTTTTGGCTGATTCTATTGACATGTTCAGTAGAAAACATTTAATAGAAAAAGTCAACAGAATTTGATTTTTCTATATAAATAACTTATTCTTTTTCATATATTTCCTATAGAATTTGTTCGACTCAAATTTTCTAAGTTTTTTTAATTCTATTTTTCTTTTCTTCTCATTAAGAAAATCAAACGAAAAAACTTAGAAAATTTGAGCCAAGGAAATTCTATAGAAAATATTTCAATAAAATAAGTTATATAGAAAAATTAAATTCTATTGACTTTTTCTACTGAATATTTTCTATTGAACATTCCAATAAAATCGGCCAAAAACTAATAGAACAGTTCAATAGAAATTCAATAGAATTTTCTAACGAATTCGATAGGTTTTTCTATTAATTTTTTTCGTCTGTGTCCCGCAATCATTTATATCTTGACAATCCATCAATGTCTCCCCTAGAAGATATTTCACAATAATCTACATATCCTTGTTAAATTTAATCCGTCAACTAAATCGACGATCTTTTATTGAAAATTTAACAAATGGTTGTCGAATGAAATTGAAAGAGTACATTTTGATACAAGTGCGACGGGGTGGTAACGAGTGTGAAGTTGGCGGCCCGAGGGGAAGCCGAGGGCTGCCAATCACACGAGTTAAAACACCCCGTCGCACGTGTATCCGAACTATATTTTTTGTTAGTGATGTTACGTTCAGCGATTGCCGAACTGTGCCATTTTTCGTTTACTAGTAAACGAAAAGGCACTTTTCGACACGGGCTGAACGTACCAGCAGTGACAAAATAGTACATTAGAGTATAAGGGGACAAATTTCGTTTTCAACGAATGTGTAGTTTACAGGCCGAGCCGAAGGCGAGGTCTGTACACACATTCGTTGAAAACGAAATTTATTACCGAGTGCTCTATAATATTTTATGTCAAGTCGTGCAGAAGTCGAGTTTTGAGCAAGCTGCGCGAAGCGCAGCGTGCGATAAACTCGACTTATTGCATGGCGCGACATAAATACTTTTATCGCCTGATGAAATAATCTACTATTTTCTGAATTCTAATTTCAATGTGATTGAATTTTAATTTCAATGTGATTATAATACGAGCCGAAGGCGAGCATTGAAAGCCACATTCGCCAGATAATACTTTTATCGCCTGATGAAATAATCTACTATTTTCTGAATTTTAATTTCAATAGGTCATAAATTTCACCAACTAGTTATTAAAATTCAACAACTGATTGGTAATTCATTTGTTCAACAACTAGTTGTTGAAATTGACCAAATAATTTTCTCCGTGTAGAGAATTTCAATAGAATTTTCTAACGAATTCGCTAAACTTTTTTTATTAAATTTTTTCATAAGTGAAATTACTGAAAAAATGAAACTCTTCAAAATAATTAAATTTCATCACTCTCCTTTTTCCACTTACGAAAAAATGTTGAAATGAGTAATAATTCATGACTCACCCTGCGTGACCCCATGTCAAAGATACTGCGATTAATCCGCGTACTCTCGTCTTGCGTCATGTCTGCAATTTTAGGTCCAAACTGATGTTTATCGTGAATTAAAGGGAGAGCCTCGATGTCACTTTCCTCTTCGCTCTCTGTTTCCAAACAACTGCCTTCACCCTTTGCACCTTCCAACAGGCTAATTGCACACTCGTCAACCCAACGCGCCTTCACATGCGTCATCATTCAAATTTCACATTCATATTTCGCTGCACTGGCCTCAGCGGAACGTCGGAGGTGAAAAACAGTGGGAGATGAACTGCTTCTGAACTTGAACGGTGTCAATATTGATATCGAAATACTGTCGTCTTTTTTTCCTTATTTATTCACGTTGTACGTTTAGCCACTCGGAGGTGGATCGCAGAGATGTTTTCACACCCAACACTTGTGCAGTTTAATCTTTGTGCGCAGTTCAATTCACTGCGAGTGACTTTATTCAATTTTTGTGTATTTTATCGTCAAATAGAATGGAATTTCACAATTGAGATCAACAGAAATACCTTTCAATATGAACGTCCGGGGTAGAATTGAAATAGTGCCTGTGGAAATGAATTTATGCGATGGAGTATGTGGTAATATATTAGGCATACATTCTTTATTATGAAAAATTTCGTGAGATATTGCCTATATTGAAAATGTATTTTTTGTGTGGATAGATGGATAGGCAAAGAATATTCTATTGATACTCGGAGATATAAAAGATCCCCTAAGGACGAATAGGAGAGATAAATTGTTGTTTTCTGCATGCAATAGGCGTACTTTATCATTCAAAATAGTGACAAATAGGAATTAACCCCTCAAGTACACTGATAGACTGATAGATTGAGTCATTTATTCCAAACGAGATTCGTTAACTATTAACGAATGGTAGAGTTGAATATGATCAAATGAATATTCGTTCATACACTGACAGAAAAGGTGGAACGATTCAGTTGCACCAAACGAAACTTCTTAACTGTTACCGCGATTCGTTAATAGTTAACGAATCGTGGTAATAGTTAAAAAGTCTCGTTTGGTTCGACTAAACCGTTCTATCAGTGTAGTTAAGGATTGGTTCGCATGAAAGGTGAAAATCGAGTCAAACAAGCCTTCTCAAATGTGCATTTGTTAACTATTAACGAATGAACATTTGGTGAGACCGAATAGACCTTCGTCTCCAACCAAATCCATTCGTTAACAATAACTATATAATCCTTTCTATCAGTGTACGGCGTCCATGCCACATAGATCCGAGAGTTTATCCTATCGGCCGACGTCTATACGTCATATAGACCCTTTCCGTGATTAATAAAAATTAATTATCTTTCGTACTATTGTAGATATGGAAATTCTAAAAATTTCTCCATGAAATAGATAACTAACATAAAATTATCAACACAATGCGACTCGATTTTTTTCGGAAATCAATTTTACTCCATCCTAGAGACGTGAGAAATTTATGGAATTCAAAATTCATTGATTCATGATCTACTACGAATAAAGTTAAACAGATGCTTAACTTTATTTTTTGGAGTGGAACGAACATTTAAAAAATAAAATAAAATCGTATGAAAACTAGTGTTAGAAAATTACTCGTGAATATTCAAGTAATTCTCGATCTTCAGGTCCATGACCACTGAAAAACATCGAAAATTTTGAAAATTCAGGTACTAACTTTTCTGAATTCAATTTTCACGATAAGTTTGGAAATTCAAGCTTTTATTGAAAAATCAATGATTGTTTAACATGAAAAATCTAATTTTCTTGAATTTTCAAGATAATTGAGAAATTTAGTGAACACTCATTTAAAATTGAATTCAACTACACAACATCGAAAATTCAGATGACGTTGTGATTGAAATTTCAAGAAATTTCTAACAGTGAACAGCGCAAGGAGCATTCTGAAGGTAAAAACAGGAAAACATGAAGTTTTTCGTGGTTATACTAGGCAAAATCGATCAGGTCCACGATTTTCCCTAGTTATTTCCATATTCCGTCATAGATCTCAAACTGTTCAGTCCCAAGGCCCAGTGAAGACTTTTAAATTTCACCGACGCATCCCTTTAAGGGGTCTCCGCAGTTGCAATGGGAGCGCGGGTGAGTGGAGTGTGAAATAGTCAAGTTAGTGAGGTTAGTTTCGAGAGAGACGGGACATCAAACATGACGTATGTTGGATGATGACAGACATCGCCATAGTATTTTTATCATTAATTTATTGAAGAGATACACGATAAAATCCAATGAGACTTCGTGCTCATATTGTTTAGGGCTTAATATAGAACAATATAGCTTCCTTTGCTGACTAGCACATTGTCAACAGTGTGAGGGGTATGGGACAAAGTAGCGTCCATAAAGGTTGTGTATAAGGCGCAATTTGAATAATTAATTAAACACGAGCGAAACCATAAAAGTAGTTAGAATTCCTTTTACAAATTCCTTTTCAACATTTTTGATTACTATATGATTTATTTAATTCGCAAGCACATTGTCATATTTTGCCCAAAAGTACTGCGGGCACCCCTTAAACCACTTCACCACGAAGATAAGACTAAATGCACAAACCAGAAAACCGATGAACCTAATATTGAATCGAAACGCATACCATACCATATAATCCCGCCATTCTCAAACCCCCAAAAGAGCGATGAAAAAGCACGAAAATCCTGTGAAAATTCAGAGGATAAAAAAAAGCGTTGGGTTTTCTCCGAAGAATAAAAAAAAAGAGGGGGGGAGTGGATAACCACGAGGGAGCGGTCGCAGCAGTATAATATCCACGGTGCGAAGCAATGAATAAAAAGCAACACGACTGAATATACAGAGAAGGGGGATCCAGAATGAGGATGAAATGAGGGAAGGTAGAGCCGATAGTCATAACAAAAATACCACACCTAGAGCGGGGATAGAAATACTGAGCCGGAGAGCGGGGGAGTTCACACGGGAACGGAATGCGTCCAGCGAGGTACAAAAATCGAGCACGGGTCATTGGTCGAAAAAGGTGTACGCGCGAAGGGTTCGACGGGCTTCACGCCAGCGTATCACCCACCCCACCCCCTTCACGTTTTTTGTTTTTAATGCAAAAACCGGGTATACGTGAAGCGTATATATCGCTGTGATTATTCTCGGTTCGCTTGTCCTGTTGATTTGCGATAAAATTCAATGGCTAGGAGAGTAGGATGTTAGAGTGCGAGAACACAACGGATCGGGGGAGGAAAATGGAGAGTCGTTATTGTGCTGGAGTCAAAGCGGTTTTTCAACAAGGATCAAAGTTTCAAATGAAACGTGTTACTTGAGATTTTTCTAATCATTTCGACTACATTTTTGTTGAAAATTGTTGGAATATTCGAGCACAGCTCTCTCATTGTTGTACAAAAACTACTCGACAAAGATTTATGACATATTGGGAAAACAATTTTAGAAAGGGACTAATTTACGATCGGTTGTCCTCCGCAATCGAGAGCGGTTTAATCCTAAACATGTGCCGAAATTTGAAGAAGGACTGTGTCCTCTTGAGGCATAAAACTTTATGATTTTATTTTTCGTTTTCCCAGTAAGAGTTTTCCCTTGGTTACACTAGTTAGTCTCTGAACAACTGTCCTCTAGTATAGACGTGCCTTCCTTGTGTAAAATAAAGAGAATTTCATAAAGTATTTCACTGGTTTGCCGTATTTATTCATTCGTTTGCACCCATATTCCAATAAAAATTAATGGACTCATCTTTGTTTCAATGAAAATGCTTTAATTGTGGTAAATGATAATTAATTCACTCAATGAAAATAAAATAAGGCAGCGAGTTGTTGCATTAAGGTGTTTCTTGCAAAAAAGGTAAATAATGACGTTCATCTGGAATTCATACAGAATGTTTATAATCATAATTGAATTATCTGTGAATTTTCCTAGAGTTTTTTTTAGATTTCCTTTTCAAGTTATTAATGATTAACGTCGTTGTTTATCATGAAACTATAGTATCAGCTCAAATGGCAACGCAGTTTTATGCTAAACAGAAAAATCTCCATAAGAACCCATGTATAAGCAGCAACTTTAATTGTTAATAACTTGAAAAGGAAATCTGAAATAATTCGAGGAAAATTTATAGGCACTTCTATTGTAATTATGAACATTCTTTATAAATTGCAAATGAATGTCATTTTTTACCTTTTTCGCACGAAGCACCTTAAGACCATTTTCATTCTTAAACTTTTAGAAGAGACTTGAAACATGAATCAATTGATTTTAGAACAAGCACATTCTTGGCTGCAAAGAGCTGCTAAAGAAGCTGGGATCCGAGCAGGAGATTTGGTGGAGAAATTGGAAAAAGGGAATGAATAGAAACGGGTGGAGAGGAAAAATAATTGAGGTATTGGGGAGAGGGCCTACAAGAAAAATGTGTGACAGGATGGCAAGAATTGAGAGGGCACTGAGGAAGGCAGAAGAGTAGAATAAAGGGAGGATTTGACGAGGAGAGGAAAACAAACACAGTGAAAAGAGATTATGTGTAACAACTATATGGAAAGATAACTTGGAATTTAAGCTAACACTTTTTTTCTGTAATTAAAGAGGAGAGGAAAGGACTCGCGATGGTGTGAAATAAAGAAAAACTTACCATTTGTAAGCAACAAAGGGTAAATAAATAATTGAATTGAAATTGATTTTAGAACAGTAAAAATCAGCGATTTAAGAACTTCCACTTGATTTCAATAAATATGGTTGTGATTTTTCTCAGCTTGCTTGTTCTGCTAATTTCCGTAAAATTCAACAATTATAGGGGCATGATTTTAAGGTAGGTCTGATGACTATGCCACCCAAAAGTTGATTTTGACGAATTGCCGAAAAAAATTTTAAATAGCTTGATTTATTTAATTCTCACAAGTTATTGAGGTTTTTTATTCTCATGTTTGATGCAGGCAATAATAACTGTTTGAATTAAATAAAAAATGTTTTCACAACATTTTCATGTTTTTGTTACCTAATGAAATTTTTCTAGTCATTTCAACAATATTTTTATTGAAAATTAATAAACTTATGTTTATTTGAATGAAAATGTTTCAATTGCAGTAATTAATAATTATAATTATAATTATAATAATTGACTATCACTCATTAAAAATAAAATAAGGCGGCGAGTTGTTGAATTAAGGTCATTTGTATTCTTAGATTGAGAACATTCGAAGAGGATGAAGGTGCAAAATTAATTAAACGTTAATTCGATATGAATTGAGTCGAGGTGTCAGGTGATTACATTCAATAACGGAAGTTATGAGTTACACGGAAATTCAATAATAATTTTCAGAGGTATTTTAGATAACACTTGAATCGTCAGTAAGTTGATTTTAAAAAGGATAAAACCGCTAATTCAAAGAGTCACACTCGTGACGAATTATCTGTCATTTTTGCACACGATGTTTCTCAATAAAGGACTCCATTTCGAGTTTTCACTCGCAAGCATTTTCATCCTTCGTCACCGGCACATCAAAGAACGAGTATGTGACCCATTTTCGGGAAAATTAACTTTCGAGGATTTTCATATGAACAA